ATAAATGTTTTATTTTGATATACAAGTTGTTCGGGTTTTTTGATCTAAAAAATGTGACATTAATTTCTTGACGATCTAATACTATAATATGTGTACCCAAAAGACATAGAGTGAAACCACCTCAATTCTATATCTAGCCCACGTCATCCCTCTCACATGGAACAGGCTTTATGTTCCAATGATGATAAGCCTGTTCCTTAGGTCAAACTAGATTAAAAAGGTTTAAAGGTAATTTCTTTTAATTTAATTTATGTGATATTCGCTGAGGTAAACTGCTGCTTTTATTTTTACCAGTTTCTGACAAAAGGTTTCTAGTCAGTTTTATTCTTGTTGTTCTAATGCATTCCGTTAAGACTTGCATTACCAGCCATTTGTATGATTTTCGGTATAAGGAAGTTAGCAAAAACATTACTAATAATAACGTAAATTAGAACTTTAAAGCATTTTAGTGTTGGTTAATTTCTGTACTATACAGACTCTCGTGGAATTATTTATTAATACATAGGTATTTGGAAAAACAAAAGTGAAATAATCCTAGTCTATATTTCATTCAGTTTGGTATAGTCAATTATAACTGTATGTGTTATGACTAATAAATATTTACTCACTTTCTTCTTTCTTTAATTAAACAGAAACAACAAAAAGCTTTATTTGAGGGATACTCCAATGTTATGGGCGTATCACTATTTTCTGTTTACTTTAATTAAACAGTGTTGTGTTGTATTTCAGCATTTTTCAAGCCATTATTCAATCAACATGAACGTTTTCGATTTTCCTATTACAGTGCCCATAACTTTTAACAAGTGTTTTAGTGCAACCAAAACACTGTTAAGATTTTGGTTAGAGCAGAGATAATTTTGAAGTTATTAAAACTAAATAAATATAATATCATTACTTTAAAGAACATGTAGCTAAACTGAATAAATGTTTGTATATGTAAATTAGATGTTATCTTCACAGTTTTGAAGGTAAAAAATCGTATGGCTCAAATGAATTTTACTATTTCTGTTAATTGAGAAACTACAATAGCAGATTTTTTATAATAAAGTTATTATTTCTTTCTTCTGTATTAAAATGTAAACTTAAAATACTGAATAATTTGATTTATATATATATATTTAAGCTACTAGACAACCAGCTCGCTCTAAATTAATTTGATTCGAACTTTTTATGCAAACGCTGTTGTCTGTTCTTTTGTTTGTTTAATCGCAGAAAAGTGCACGCTCAAATTAACACAGCAGGTTTTATATTGGATTCTCAACAATCTAATGTAACGTGGACTCTGAGAAGGATGATACGATTCAGTCACCCAAGAGAAAATCACTTCCGTAGCTGCCAGACCTGCGTAAGGAACTATATAAGATTTATTTAGTTAGATAAAAAATATAACATCACTTATTCTCACACATTTGACATGAAAGAATAATCCAAGCGATGTTAAATAAATACTAAAAAAGACAGGATTTTCAGAGGTTTTATTTAGTAAAAAACTTTAAAGAACGATTTCGCAGCATAAAATGACTGCTTTTTTTACATGGTAAAAGTTGTGCAGTTTTTCTAACAGTAATTCAATTATTGAGGAAAATAGTATTAGAAATGCTATAAGTAACTGTACAAGGCAGTTGAAGGAAATATTCAATATTCAAAAATGAACTTAATTTAAATAGAAAAGTTGAAAATGGCACCTTTCTTAAATAAATAAATACACCTATTCATCATGCACACAAACCAAGAAAAAATTCTTCCATAAATATATAAACA